GATTTGACCAATGATTTGAAGATGGATTATTGATGGGAAAGCTCTAAGGATCAAAATGGATGTAAGGGCCAGTTTTTATCTTTATATCACTTTTTTCTAAAAAGTATATATTTTTGCTTAGTTAATTTTAGTTTGGGATAGAGTCCAAATATTTTTTTCGTTTTCTCATCTGAGTTTTAATAGAAAAAAATCGTTAAAAGAAATTATTGGTAAAGTTTTTTATGAAAAGAAACACAAGGTATTTATTAGAGGAATCCCAAGATAAAACAAACTGGTTGTTATAATGTGAATCTTTAATACCAAGCAACATGTCTTTTCAGAGTTTTGTGATATTTATTAGCGTCTTCAATGTTCAATGACCAGATTTAAACCTACTTTGTTTAGTGTGAGAGGCCAATAATTAGTATTATGTGAACACCTATGTTAAATATTTAATTAAATATAAAAAGTGATCACATCAATATCTGTGCTAAATATTAAATATCAATAGTTAATCAATAAACTAAAATTCACACACACACACACACAGAAAATAACAAAATTGAATTTCAATGATAATCAAGAAACTCAAAATACAACTAAGTTTTTATTTTCTGTATCTTCTTCATTACATTTATGTCAAAGTTAAACTGCTTAAATGGTATGAACTCTATGAATAAAGAAACTGGGTGTGTGTTGCTTATTTTAGGTACCAAACTGAAAGCATGGTTGTATTGTCGTTGTAATTGACAGCTTGAATTCACATGTCTCTTCAATACATAAATAAGTAAGAAAAAAAATACATTTCATGTTAAAAAAAAAAACGTATTTAACTTATTACTACCCACAAGTATAGTTTTACAAAAATAAAAAAGGACACTTAGAAAAAATTACAGTCATGAGATAAGATGCCACTAGTTCACTGTTATAGTTTTTCATGCTAAAATGTGTAATTTAATTTAATGAAAAATACCATCACTATACTAATACCACCGTCTTTTTAAGTTAATCAAAATATAAATATTGTTTTTCTTTCTTAAAAATAGTGATTATTATATTTTCTGGCGTGATGAATATTACTTTAGTCTATTTGACTTAATATTGTTAAAAAAATATTCTTATAAGATTTTAAAATAATTTTCTACTGAAATGTATGCTAAAACATTTTTAATTTACTATACATACACATGTATATTCATATAAATCATATTCGTGCATATATTTGAATTAAATTTCAAACTATATTTAATAAATTAATATTTAAAGCAAATTACAGTATGTTTTAGTGTATACACAAATTTATTTTCTTCTTAGATACTAATTTTTTTAATAATAGACTTAAAGTAATGTATTCATTTAATATGCAAATACTAGCATTACATTTGTTAAGTTCAGTAAATGTGTTATATTTAATAATTTAATTAAAATTAATTATTCAATATATGAAAATAATATATATATATATATATATATATATATATATATATATCATATAATTGATAACTATATAAAGTTAACAGTTAATTCAAATACTTTTATTTTTTTTAAATATATTTTGGGACTAATATATAAAAATATAGAACCAAATTTAAAGTGATTCATAATGTTTAATTAAAATAATAATTAAATATTAATTAGGCACACGCGCGTCCCTTTCAAACTTTTCTATATAACATTAGTCTTATACATACACAAAACATAACCCAGAGCCCTCAGTTGATTTTAAATTCGTTTACCACATTGTCTAACAGAACAGCTCATTTATTTATCTCTGAAACATTTGATTTTTCTTCTCTCAAGAATAGATACAATATCTCAGCTGCAAACAGTCATACTCTCTATATATTAATATCGGCTTCTTCTCAGTCGCTCCTCATCCGCATCTTCATCCTCAGTAAGCGTATTACCTGTTGCGCCACTTTGCTCGGTCCTGCTTCCTCTATCGTCTCGGGCTCTCTTTTTTAACCTCTCTCTCATGACCCTTCCGTCTCCAAATCCCACTCCCCTCTCCTCCTCCTTCATCTCCCTCTCTCCTCTCCTCCTCTCTCTATATATATATATAATATATATATTATATAATATTATATATAATATAAATTAACTTTTGTTTGAGTTTCCCATATAATTTAAATTTTTTATTAAACGTAAAAAGACGGTGATTTTATTTTTTAAACACGGAAGATGAAAGGTTTGTTAATATTGTTAAAATGCTGCACATGTATTTACAAATAGTTTTTCATTTTTTAATAGATATGAGGAGATGGTAGTAGTATCATGTTCGCATTTCTTTACAAAAATTAATTTACTAAAATTTAAAATATTAAAATATCTTGAATATACAGACTTTATTATGGAGTATATTAATTGGTGTATGAACCTTATCCTTAAATGTAATCCCTGAATTAATTAATTGACTAATTTACAATATGAGGCATTCTTGTGTAAGAATGATTCGTAATTGTGTCATGTTATTCTAGCCTAGATAAAATAGAAAATCATTCACATCAATTTCCCAACTCAGAAAACTCCACGCAGCTTGATGAACGACTAAATACTAAAATACGAAAAAAATTAATAGTTATTAACCTAATCAATGCATGTCCATATCAACAATATTACTTTTATGTGTTACCTATCCTTGGATAAAACATAAACAAACTGTCAGAAAACTATGAGACATCCCCATACCAAAGAATTATTCACAGTTGTCTCCCATGTTGGTTTTATCTATACAGCTCCTTTGTCCATGTCCCTTAGCAACCACATCAATTATTTATTATCAACAAATTACTATCCAAAATAGTTTATTTTTCTTATCATACATCTCACTAAATATCAAATTTTCTTTCTGTCCAAACAATTTTACCTTCCCCTTTCAAAAAATTAACTGATTATCTTTTTTGTTAAATATTTATTTTTTTTTTAGTTTTATAATATTTTCACCTAATAATATTACTTAAATTTAGTTTGATTTGATAAAGAAGAAGGTGAATACAATTACATGGTGGTGGTTGTCTTTTATCTTTAAGTAATAAAAAAATGTGTGTGCAAAATATATAGCTTACGTAAATGTTGGGAAAGCCTTTTTTGTCCAGTGTGTTGTTTTGTAAGTATGCATGCAAAATCGATGAATTTGTTATCGAGACCCCTCTGCATCGATAAATTTTTTCTTCTTTCCTTTCGGTGTCCTTTTTTCCGGTCGTTTTTTTTAATTATATAGGTTTTCATACGGAGAGAAATTTGGGCATTCGAATGACTAAAAATATAATTGACTTCAAGATTTGAAGCTTTCGTTCATCCTTTCATAATTCCTAGTTTTTGTCTCTTTTTCTTTTTCTTCTCCTTTTAATACAATAAGCCTGTAAAATTCACACATAAACAGTTGGTTACAAAAATTTTTTCTTAGATTATGAATGCTTCCACAGCATTTGTTAAAAAAAATAAAACAATAAACTTTTTATTGCCTTAAATGATTTACCTTTTCTTCTTTCTAAACTATTACTTGAGAACCTGTTCCCTACACAATACCTTAATTAATCAATCCTCAAAATAAAACCTTTCTACAAACAACTTTGTCACGCCGTAGTTGCGATTTTAGGAAAGAACGATCTTCAAACTGAAAACTGACATTAAATTTTAATAGCAAATCTTGAAAATATCTCTAATTTAAACCTTCCTTTTTTTTCTTGGTTTCACATTTTTGCAAGTGGACAATGAATATTTTAGGAGGCGGATTGTCATAGTAGGATACTCTTTTTGTTATATTTGTTTTTGTCGTTGGCTCCTTAAAAGCTTTTGAAATCTTGGGGGGGGGGGGGGGAACACTCGGTAGCAACCCTCCCTTATTAAAATGGGTCCATTGTTGTAGCTCTACTACTTTTTTTTAATATGACGATATTATATACTTTCTTGGTAGGGTAGAAGCAGGAAACTGTTTTTTTTCCTCTCTCTTTTTGTGTGGCAAGTTCATTATTCATGTTTTTTTTAAAAACACTAACTGAACAGTGCCGTGGTTAAACACATTGCTAAATACAGTGATCAAAATGGCATAATATTACTTTCTCGGCAAAAGCATCATTCTGGTGTTTTTTTTTAATTATAAAAATTGGTAAATTTTAAAAAAATTATAAAGATGGATAATTTATATTAAGAAAGTTATGTGAGAGTGATATGATTTTTGTACGAAATATTTTTAAGATGGGGTTGTGTCAATCTAACACGACTTTAGTTTAGAGTATTTTAAATTAAATTTGTGTCATATTCCAACACGACTTTTATTAAAATTGAACTAAAATTGTGTTATTCAATAAAATATTTAGAGTTATAAAGTAACGACTAATCTAATTCTATTATATATAAATGTTAAAAAATATACTACAAAAGAATTTATGGTTGAAATTGTACTATAAAAGTCACATAATTTATTAAGATATAGCTTTGTAAAAAATAAGCAAATAATTTTCCAGGCAAATAATATAAAGAGGAAGAGTTTGCATGCTTTCATCTATTAAAGAAAAAGTTAAATGTTTGAAACTAAGAAAAATAAAAGTGAAATATTTACATCTCCCAGGTACATATAAGAGCATAAATTATATGTTTATGAATAACTAATACTAATGTTATATATAGCTTTGAACTGTATAGAGAAATTTTAGTTTATATGAGTAATAGCTTAAGAAATTCTGAAATTTATTTTATTTTACCAGCTTTAATAGTATGGGTTTGTTTCCGGGTTAGAGGAACATTAACAAGGCCTAAAGTCCTCCATCAATCACGACAACATTTCCCTTTGTAAGAGAAGTGATTAGTTTTTAAAAGTTTGCAAGACCAAACAAAATATTTAAGGAATTACATGGAAATGAAGTGGTGGTTTTAAGAAGTAATAATAATAGAGCGAGAAAGCTCCGGGGGCCATTTACATAGTTGTCTTGACATAAGCATTATATATAATTATATAAGGCCAAAGAAGACCAGCTTCCAATATTGGTATCATGTTTCTAAGTCCTAAACACAAACCAAAAACTCTCTCAGCTTTTGTCTTCCTCTAGGGGGAGACTGGATTCTTCTTTGGATACACCAAAAAACAAGCCACAGCTTTTAGTGAGGTCCATCACCTATAACGCAAAATACAAACATCAGAGAAGACACACAGAACCTTCCATTACCCTCTCCAATGTCAAATATTTCAGGTGATGAAGGAAGCTTCTCCTCAGGAAACAATGGGGAAGAAGTTCATCAAGAAACCCAACACCAACACCCTCAAAACCACCTTCATGACTCTACTTCAGGACCATCTGCTGCTTCCAATACCAATGCCTTCCACCTAAATCCAAAAACCAGAAGAAAAGAAACCTTTCCAGGAACCCCAGGCAAATACTCAACTACCTCAACTTCAGTTTCCTTTCTTTTCTTTTCTCTTTTTTACTGATCGTAATTGCAGACTGACAAATCAACTTTTCGTGTTTGTATAGTTTAGTTTCTCTGCTGGTCAAATTCTAGAGAGATTCCATGTCCTACTCTGTAAACAACCCTCTATTCAAAAACATCAACCATTTAGTAAATATTTCTGAAAAGATTAATCTTGGCTAAAAAAAACTGACTTTATTAGATAACCTTGTATTTTTACTTCGGGTTATGGCTATCAAAGTAGGGAAGTTAAACATAAAGCGATATGGAAAATGGCAAAAAAGTTCCTGATTCGAATACTATGCATACCCTTACTATTTGTTTAATGTTTTATCTGCTCAGTCTTTCTCAGTTTTCAGAAGTAGCACGGTATCATGTTATTTGCTAATGGATATGTTTTATGAAATAGACCCCAGTGCTGAAGTTGTTGCTTTATCACCAACCACACTGATGGCAACAAATAGATTCGTGTGTGAGATCTGCAACAAAGGGTTTCAGAGGGACCAAAACCTTCAGTTGCACCGCAGAGGTCACAATCTTCCGTGGAAACTGAGGCAACGAACAAGCACTGAGGCTAAGAAACGTGTGTATGTTTGCCCTGAGCCATCATGCGTGCACCATAACCCAGGTCGTGCATTAGGAGACCTCACTGGCATCAAAAAGCACTATAGCCGCAAACACGGTGAGAAGAAATGGAAATGTGACAAGTGCTCTAAGAGATACGCAGTGCAGTCTGATTGGAAGGCCCACCAGAAAACTTGTGGCACCAGGGAATACAAATGTGACTGTGGAACCATATTTTCCAGGTACAAACTCCTTTCTTATTCAATGCACACGGCACAGTTGAATTGAAGTGGTTATAAGAGAAATTTGCACTTTGCATAGATGATAAAGTTATCTAAAATCATGGATAAAACTTAGATGGCGTTCTTAAGAATCTGTATGCTTCAAGATCAACATAAAAGCTTTGTATTAGAGATTCTTAACTCTAGTTCTGATAAGAAAATAGTAGCAAAAAAAAGTATATTGCGTAAGTTTTCATTTTGACCTTGTTCAGACAACTGAGCAGTTAAAACTATTAAAATGTCCTCTTAGAGGTCTAAGAGTTTCTGTACATGGTGCAGGAGAGATAGTTTTATCACTCACAGAGCTTTCTGTGATGCATTAACTGAAGAAAACAACAGAGTGAACCAGGGTCTGACAAGTGGCATGCCACCAAACCTGCAGAATCAAATACCGGATCTTATGTCTACCATGCCTCTAAACACTAGTCCCAACACAGCTTATGACCCTAAGAACCCACTGAAATCACTCCCCCAAGAACTTGTCCCAATACCATTCAAGTCTATGAGCATGGGAGGGGGCATGTTCTCTACCAATGCAGGTGCACTTTTTGGTGGCCCAAAAAGCATGTCTCCTTCTTCTTCCAGCCTCCAACTGGGTTCCAACACCTCATCAAGCTTCAATTACTTGCAAGACAACAAAAACGGAGGACTAATTGCTGCCTCGGCTCAGATGTCTGCAACAGCTTTGTTACAGAAAGCAGCCCAAATGGGTGCCACTGCAAGCAATACCATTAACTCCCCCATGATGCAAAAAGGCTTTGTTAGTAGCACTGCTGCTCCTGATCATGTTTCTTCCACTAGGCCGCCATATTCTGGTGCCATGCTGCAGCATAACAACTCCTACGACCATTTCTCTCCACAGCCTGATCTCTCCAACATGGCTGGGGTGAGTGGTGGAGGAGCATTCATCAATCAGTTTTTTCATAAAGGACAAGAAATTTCACAAGTTTTTGACACCAACACTGCCGGGTCTGCTATGAACGATGTGGGAATGTTCAGCCAAATGCCTCTGGGGAGTGACCACAATCCGGGATTGATGAAGAATGTGGAACAAGATGTTAGTAATTGTTCTGGTTTGATCCATGGAAAAGACGTGGTTGAAAATAACCCAATGCAGCCATCAAGGTTTGGAGGGAGTGACATGACAACTGTTCATGACTTTTTGGGCATTGGTGGTTCAACTTCTAGAGTCATGAACCATTTTCATCACCATTTTCCACACGAGGATTCAGCAGCAATGGAGGAACCCATATGGGATGTTTGAGAGCAGATCTTTATCATGTATGCTTCTGATTATACAGAGTTAGTCACCAAACTATGGAACGTTTCGATGGTTAGAACTGGATTTGAATTAGATTATCTACCCAATTTCAATCAAACTTAATCCCAAACTCATAAATTTACTGCATTTGTCTCTCTAACCCAAGTGAGTTACTTCATCAAAATGAAAAATAAAATAAAAATCGATTGAGAAATGTCATATCGATCTCTTCATCCCCCTCTTTTCCTTTATAAATGCAAAGATTAATTTTTAAATGATCATATTATATTACCACTAAAATTAAGTTGTAAGTTGTCATAAAATGAAAAAAAAAAATCCTATTTGCATGTTCATAGTTTTTCTTTTTCCTATTTTTAAATGAAACTGGGCAAATTAAATGATGTTGAATTTACTTTCTTAATTAGTGTAAAAAATATAATAGGGAATACACATATTAATTACGTGACATGAGATTTATAGTTTCATTTCATAAGTACTTTAGAACTTAAGATGAAATATACAATTGTATTACATATTTGAAAGACCTATAACTGTTCATTTTAATTCAAGGAGGTTGGGGGAGTGGGAATAGCAGAGAAAAGAGGAGATGTTGATTTATAAAGAGGTAGTTGATAATATAAAAATTAGGAAAAAGTGTTTTTTGACAACTTTCTTATACTAACCTATAAAATATTAACATGTAATCTATGTAATCTATTGTTAAAAAATTATAAAAAAAAGTTATTAAAATATCGTGATCCTAAAAATAATATTTAATCTTTTCATGTATTTAAATTACGATTGTGTCCTACATTATTTTTTCTCCCCATAGCAATTCAGCTAATGGGCTTTTGAGAGTTAGCCCAACCTACACAAGAAGGCCCACGCCATCCTTTAAAGGACCCATACGTAATGGAGGACATTTTCGTCATTGGACACACGAATCCCCGTTTCGGCCACAAACCCTAACCCTAATTAGACCACTCTTCCTATTTAAACTCAGCATCCACACTCTTTCTCTCTGCTTCTTCCTCGTCTCGGATTTAACTCTTCGCTTTGGTGTGCGCTTTCAAGCCTTTTCGTATTCGCGTCAGTATCTAACTATCTTTCATGTTTGTTGTGTTTTGATTTTGAAGGCCATGATGTTGAAAACTACCTATTTTATGAGCGAATGGAAAATTGTTCCTTCGTGATTACAAAACTACCAATGGATCCTGCTGAGCCTTTAACTATAACTTCTGTTAGTTTTTTTCTTTTTTTGATTGTTTAGTTGGTAGTAGAATTTATCGAGTTGCGTCATTCTTTTGAACATTTCGAATCCAAAGAAGAGATAAAGAGACGCAGGAGTATGGAAAGAGCCGTTGAAGTGATGATATCATATTCGGAATTCATATCTGTCGAGTTTAATAATCAGACTACAATTATCTGATCTCCGGCTCAACCAGTCGAATTTTATTCTAGGCTGATTAGTTTGTATTTTTATTAATACTTTACATAAAATATTTTTTTTCAAAAAATATATCTCTGACTTTAATGCTGTGTTCGTTTTAAGGATGATAATGTTTAAGGCGATTTGGAAGGACGGATTGAAGTTTTTTTTCATGTTCGTTTAAATAGATTTGAGAAGAAAGAAGGGAGGGAATTTTGCTGAACTTATTTCATCTTCGCTGAGGGGGAGAGATTTGTGGTGTGCGATTTTCTGTTTTAATGATTCTTTACTCATTTATTTTGTATTGCAGGTTGTATGTGATTTAGAAACATGGAAGAAGAAGGATGAGTCCCAAAATTAGAGGGAAGAAAGGGTTTAGACTTTTTTTTTCTCTTTTTAATATTCAAGAGTTAAAATTTAATTTTTATTTTTTTCTTTTTTTTATAATAATTTTTATAATTATATATAATATTAATAATTATAATTTTATATTATTTTTATTACTAAAGATATTTTAAAGATATTTTAGTAATGTTTAATTTTTATTAATTAAACAATTTTTTTATCTTATCACATCAATCAAATTTTATCTTAATTTCTTTAAATTTTTTTTTAAATCCATTCTCATTTATTCACGTATCTACTAAAAAAATTACTTTTAAACTTATTCAAATCTATTCAAATCATTTTCTCCATAATCATTTTTCCTAAATCTCTACAAAAGTCTCTGCAAAATAACAAAGCCTAAGACAAGAAAATGATGAATTGAGATTTTAGTTACGAGATTGAAAGTCTGATTAAATTTCTAAATACAGAGAAAATATATTAATTACGACACAGTATTTATCATTTTTTATTTATTACTTAATTGGTTTTTAGAATATTATTTTAATAATAAAACTTTATTGATAAGGTTTTTACGTTATGGATTTTCAAACCAAATAAAAGTTATAGTGACTTTTTTTATTTACCTTTTAAATTTTATTTTATTTTATTTTATTTTTAACTTAGTAATCTTATTTTGATATCTATATTCTTACACTGAAAATAAAATAATAAAAAGATAATTGCAATAATTAATAAAAATAAATAAAATGATATTGTTCCACTAACCTAAACCAAAAGATTTTAATTTCAGTCCTAAATTGGTTTATGGTACTATTTATAACATTACAAATATATTATTGAAACTATGAAAATAGATTACACAATTCATTAAATAAGACTGGTCAAAATACATTTTTATCATATTGAAATATGTATAGTTTTATTATTTTATGAACAATTAAATATACAAGGAAAAATAAATTATTGCTTACAATTATCCAATTAAATGTGACAAAGTTATTAAATAATGTATAATGGAATAATTTTTTAATTTTCAAAACTACCTTTTTTTAATAAATACGATGTATTAACACTTTTCTGGCCGCAGTTCCAACTCTTCCTATGATGTCACCCCTTGTATTTGAAAGAAGGTATTAGCAGAAAGTATGATGTAACGATGGTCATAGAAATTTTATCGTCACAGAAATATAGTAATTGGTACAGAAATTGTGTTATTTCCTAAAATATGTTTTTACTTTCCCTTTATATGTTAAAGCGATAATCGATTCGGTTCACGGTTTAGTCACTTATTGAATTAATCCAATCTGATTCACTTATTAGCAAGCTAAAATAATTTGAATTCGACTCAACCATGGATTAGTGGGTTAAACGGATTGATTCACTAACTCTCTTAATTATGAATTATTTTTTAAATAAAAGAATTAAAATTATATTTTTTTTAATTCAAATCTAAATAAATTTTCTTCTGTTAAACATTAAAAGATAATTCAAAATAAAAAAATAATATTAGAGACTTAAATAGATAAATCTATAATATTTTTCTCTCTTGAAATAATTTTTTTTATCTCATCTATAATATAATAAAAAAATATTAATTAATAATATTGAAATACAAAATAATAAATAAATAAATTAAATTAGGTGGGTTGGTAAGCCAACCCGGCTCACCACGGGTTCACCCGTGTAAGTCGGATTCTAAGTGAGCCGAGTTGAAAACTAATTCGCACAAAAAAAATTAAATTTTTTTCAAACCCAACCCGACTCAAACCTGTGGTGACTCATTTTTAGAACACTATTTACACTTCATCATGTAGCAACTTCTCCTGTTAGAAGAGTAATAAAAACATCATTTATACTGTATTTTTTCTGAAATAATAATAGTATGGTGTTTTTTAAACTAAAACGTGTCTGCTAAAAATACGGAGAATGAAATAGAATTATAGGATGAATTGGCGAATAGAAAATGTACAAGTCACTATTGTAATTTGTAAATGTAAAAATGTTGTTGACCTGACGGATTTCATGAGACTATGCTAAGAACTTAAGAGCTAATTTAAAGATATTTTAAACAATATTTTTTAATTTGAATAATATTCACTCACTTTTTACTTTAACTAGATTTTGTTAAAAATATAATCTCCATTTCTTAATTAGTAAATTCTACCCATAATTTGTAATATGATTAATTTAAACCAATGATTAAAAGTATATTAATTAAATAAACTAGTGTGCACGTGTCTTTTTTATTGTAGATGATCAATTTAATTAAAAAATAAATAAATTTAAATAAATAGTAATTTAATTAAAATAAAATAATGACAAAATTATCTTAATTAAAAATAATGAAGTTATTTAAAGGATAAAAATAAAAATATAATTATTTTATTTTAAAATAACAATTAGTTAAAAATAAAATTTATATATATACCTAAAAAAGTCACCTTTATAAATATTGATTAGATCAGTTTCAGTTCCAAGTATCAAATTTAGGATTTTGATGCGTTATCGGTTTCCTTATCCCATCTCTTGTGCGTCCTCAGTGATTGACCGGTTCCAATAATATTACGTACTATTCATGGCAAGTTTTCAAAAAGCCAATGAAATTTAACGCAACTCACTTTAACTTGTTATCTAAAAGCGGTAAAGAGCCACCAAAATGCTCAACTATTAACTAAGCCTAATAGTTAAAGAAAAAAGAATGAAACAGAATCAATCCTTTCCGGGTAAATTTTAGTTTTATAATATTCTTTTTACAATTAATAAGTGAGACTCATTAGCCATTACACTATAGATACTACAAATGTAGAACAGCGTCCTTTTCCAACAATCATTCCATGCTGATGATGTGGTTAAGATCCATCTGCACTCTCCAATAACAAGAAATATATTGCTATCAGAATTCAATCCAATTCTATACATCCGGAAAATTAATGAGTCAGATAAAATCACAAATCAATCTGAGCACAAAACTTATCGCCTCTGATCATGCCACTTTCTATTTCCCTGCCTGTCAGGGTCCCAGTGTTCAGAAGAACCCCTCTGTCTTGACCATTCAGGTCTATGATTTCTTCCATGATTCACTCTGGAATCTGGGTAGTTTCTACCTGGTATATACCTAGGATTTCTAGTTGGACTATTTTCAGGACTCCATGATTCAAAATCTTCCCCTCCTTGATTATTTCTATCCCAAAAACCAGATTGCCTGGATCCCCCAACCATTGTATTATAGTTGTTAGGATTTCTTTGAGAACTGAATGGAACATCTTGCCTAATTCTCCACGCGCTTTCAGACCCATGGTCTGATTTTTCGGTTTGTGGTGGGTAGGAACGGCTAGGGTTACGATAAGGAGGTTCGGTGTAATGGGCTTCCTGGACTATATGTTGTTGATGTCTTTGCTGCTGTGAGGCTGAATTTGACGGCGTTGGTGAGGGTAGCTTGAAGGATGACTGTGGGAAGGAATTAGACACACCCTCGTGTTGTACATTCATACTATGTACGGGTTTTACATAATTGGTGCCATTACCCCGCATTGCTACAGCTGAGTGAATGCCAGAATAGTTAACTGAAGGTGCATTGGTAGTGATTAAGTTCTTCTTCATGGTTAAGCCTACATTTGAGGATGGTATTTGTACATGCCCCAGTGGTTGTTGCTTTTCAGGATTAACATTAGTTGCCTGATGCAGTGAATATGGAGAAACTGTTGTGCTTGAGAGATGCCTCGAAGATGAAACCACTACTGCTGGCTGTTGCCTTAGTGCAGTAGTGCTAGTCATGGGAATCTGAGTTAGTAAGTTGGTAGTTGTCACTGCAGCATGGTTCTGGATAATTCTATCAGATGCTACACTTCGCCGTGAAAAGGGGTTTTTTGATGCTTCTGAGCTCCATCCATTCTGAAAAGTTAATAAAATGGGAGCACATTAGTTAATACAGTAACCAATACTTTTTTTTATAATTGATGAAAATATTAAGGATTTCAAAGATTTTATCACGTTGAAAATTGTAAAATGTACGAAAATATTGAGGGCTACTCTAAATGCCAGTACAACTACTCCAAGGGAAGTAGGGAACCTTGTTTTGCCTAAATTAGCTGTTTGATATAGACTATTTATTTGGTGCCACGCAAGGACCTGACCGTGCAAAATCTTGTCATATAAAAAGCACAAGAAAAACTTAGAAATCAATTGATTTATCTCAATTTGGCCCAGTCTATGCTATTATATTAAAGTGTTAGACGCTCTCCGCTCTCAACACGTATAAGCCAACATGGCTAAAGTGGGGTGTGCATGGCACTGTAATAGGAGACATCAAGAATGATGATAAGATCTTTGACAAATAGTGGTAGTATGAACTCAAATCACGCACCGTTCTTGGATCGCTTAAAGGGGTTGGAGATGGGAGCGAAACTTCCACCTTATCCGGGGCTTTTACACTCGTGCCATAGCTCCCATTTGTATTTTCACTTAAACCCAAGTTCGCACCTCCTCTCTTGATCATGTCAAGCAGCTTCACTACGTCTTCACCCGGTATGCTACCCGCTTGTCCAGAAGTTAAGGCAAATACCAACTCTGGATTTTTCAGCAGTACGGCAAGCAATTCTAAATCAGGCTCAGCAGGAGCCACACTTGTCGAAGAAGTGGAGGCCACCCCTTGAACAGTA